TCCTAGTTATCCGCTAGACCGCATAACAAATGCCGTCCTCCACTTTGTTCTGGATGGCCGGGCATGAAGGCATGGAGGTACGTAGACAGCTGAGCAGTTATTATTTTGGTTGTTGTCTTTGATGTGCCAAAGAAATGGTGACGTAGAAGCTGGGGCCTGGCTCAGGAACCAAAAGCTTGTTAGTGATTAGAAAGGGGATAATGGCCTCATGGAGTTTCTCATTGTGTGTGTTGGGCTCAGAGCTGCCAACACTGTCCTGGGACCTTGAAGACATTTAGAGCCCCCTGAGTGAGCATCCCTGGCAGCTGGGGGTGTAGAGGAGGCCAGATGCTGCAGGTCCACCTCTCACCAGGGTCTGAGTTAAGCTATCCCACCCAAAGGCTCCTCCCTATGGAGCAGTTTCCTAGAGGTCTTCATGACCTGAATGGAGACAGGGGTGTGTCGTCCTTCCGGTTCACTCCCCTACCAGACCTGGGTTGTAGCCTGTCAGGACTGTGGCCCAAACCAGTCCCCGGTATATTGTATTGAGCCCTCATGGTATTTTCAGTTTGTATTGGTTGTCAATTTTTACAAGTTAGAAAGTTTCATATAATAACATGGATTTCTGGAGTCTGTGGAAAAATGAGGAGATTTGGCAACACCAGGCCTGCATTCCCACAGTTGGCTGGAGTTAGGGAGCTATGGCCACGATAGACCGAGTGCAAGCACAGGTTTTGCAGTCCTCTCATTCCTACCTCTCCCTGTGCGGCTCCACACTTGGCCCAGTTAGTGACTGTCATTCATCCAGCCGACTGTGGAATGATGTGGCTAGAGGTGTGGATCTTGCAGTCATGCTGTCTCCGTTCAGATTCTGGCTTCCTTCTCCTGAGCAGTGTGGTCTTTGGCATATTTCATAATCTCTTGATGCCTCAATTGTGTATTCTGTACGGTGGAGATCCTATTCTATCCTATGCCATAGGGTTGGTATGTGGATTAAATAAGATTAAAATTAGAGTTGCACACAGCAAACACTCAGTAAGTGTTAGCTGTGGTGTTGTCATCGTTATACCTACATGACTCCCCTTCCTCCATTTATGTTACCTGCCTGGCTTCTATCAGCATTTGACTGTAGATGGAACCTCCTGGAGTCAAGGATCTGGTGTCCTCATATTTTTATTGGCAGCCATCCCAGTGCCTGGCACATAGCATATGTGTCCAGTGAGTGTGTGTTGAGTGATTGAATGAATGAGTTGGGTGCCTGCTGAGAGTAGGCGAGGCAATGTAGCAGAGTGGTTTGGGGCAGAAACTTGGCCTGCTCTCAGATCCCTGCTCTGCCCTTGTTAGTCCCCTAGCGTCTCTGTGCCTACATTTCCTCACTTATAAGATGGCGCTATCATGGTGTCTGCCACCCACAGTGGGAAAGGACTAAGTGAGAGACTGTGTAAATCACTTGGCTTAGTTTGTACTTGGTGTCCTTTGCAAGGTGTTGGTGTCACCTCTGACATGCCTTCCTTCCTTTCATTGCAAAAACGTTTTACCTTCAACATCATCTCTCTTTCTCCTGGCTCTCCTTGCTTTTCCCCCTGTTCCTCTGTGTCCATACAGTTTCACTTTGGAGACTCTAGCAGTCAAGATATTTTCAGCTGCAAATAATAGATAACACCACCCAACTAGCTTAAGCAGTAAAGGGAGTATGGCTAATGGTAAAGGGAAAAGCCCAGTGGGAGGGCAGCCTCTGGTGCTCTCTTCTCTGTGGTCCTCTTGGCTCTGCCCTCCTCTGTGAGTGGACTTCAGCCTTTGACTTGCTCCCCTAATGCTCACAAGATGGTCACAAAGACCCAGCCTGTGTCACATACCTGTACCTGAAACCAGTCATGGGCTCATGCTGAGGAGCTCCCACCCCTGGGGCTGGAGCTGGGGTCTAACCATGGCTACCGTGCAGGGCTGATAGCCAGTGGGAGACCTGACTTTCTTTCTGAGTCATGGTAGCTGAGATGTGCAGGAGATGCTTCAGAAACTGCCAGCTCCTCCCAGGTTGTGACCCCACCCAGGTTAGAGAGATACCTGGGGCGGGTACCCTGGAGCAAGCAACGGTAGATCACATGCCATTGATGCCAGGAGGTCAGATCCATCACCTGACACTACCAGGAGACGTCACTGTCTTCGTCAGGGCCAGTGTGTGAACATGTGTGTGCCCCGGTGTTCTCCAGAGACTGACTGGTTCCTGAGGTTTCTGAGCAGACATTGTCCCAGGTCTGTGGCCCCTCGGATGACAGAGTGCAGCCTAGGCAACAACTTAGGGATGACCACCTCCCTGTGCTACTCACTTCCACAGAGAAAGTGGAGCTGTGTGAGTGAATGCCAGGCAGCATTGCTGAGTGTGGATAGATGGGTTTATGTGAGACCCCCTAGTGCTGCTCTTAGCCTTTGGAGCCTGGAACTGTAAGAAAGTGGGGGAAACTCAAGAATGGATAGCCTCTGTTTCTCAATAAGTCCTCTACTGCTGCTGCTGCTGCTGCTGCTGGGGTGTGTGTGTGTGTGTGTGTGTGTGTGTGTGTGTGTGTGTGTGTATAAGAGTTTGTGTGGTTTCCAGACACAGCTGACTTGGTGGGTTTTGGCGGCAGACTACAGGATGTTGGATTGCATCCTGATTGTGTCACCCTTGGAAGAAGAAGATGAATAAACACATAGCCTTCTCTGCAAGCACAGCACGCCTTAAATTTTGGATTTTCAGTCTCGCCTGAAAAGAAAAAAGCTCTAGACTGACTGTTCTGTCCTGCATTTGATCCTCAAGCTGCCATGAGCAGGTGGAAGAGACTAAATAATGAAGCCCTGTGTCAGGCAAGCAGACGCCTCGATGCCACAGCCGTCGAAGATGGTGCTCAGTAACTTATAAATGGTAGTGTTGTCTAGCGTGCTGGGCATAGTCATGGGGGCAGGGGAAGAACAGAAACCCTGACCTCCCCCAGCCCAGCCAGCTTCGAGAAACCTATGGAATAGGTGGAGAAAAGAGATACATAAAAAGATAACCAATAGCACAAGAAAATGAGGTCCCTGCCAAGTTTGGGGTCTGGAATGTAGGACCTCTTAGGGGCCAGGTGAGGGCAGGTATCAGGAAAAAAGGTAGAGCAAGCTCTGTATTCAGGGAAGAGGCAGAGTTTGAAAAGAGAGTTGAGCTACCAGCTGGGCTGGAACCCAGCCTGTGAGGAAGGCCTGGAATGCCATGCATACTGAAGGCTTTGGGCCTGACCCAGCACATCCTAGGCTCCATTTACTGTTTTTGATGTGGGTATCATGAGAGGAAGCTGCCTTTAGGGTCTGTCAGCTTATGTTTGCAGCCCTAAGAGGCCCTGGGCTTGAGTGGAGAGATTGGAACATGATGCTCTGGGGATTGGAGGCAGGGAGGAAGGGCCAGCTAGAAGAGGAGAGAGAGGTTGCACAGGGAGAGAGTCATTGGAAAGAGCAGGTTTAGGGTCACCCCATCTTGTTTGGGGGGACAACTGCTCAGGGCCGCCATGTGGAGTTGAGGCTGCCAGCACACACACTGAAGAGTCATGGGGGCAGGGCTGCTATGGGCAGGGGCGTCAGTCATGGAGAAGACAAGGTTGGATCTGAGTACCAGGCAGCTCCGGTTGGGAGGAAAGCATGACTGGAGGGGTTCGGACCACAGGCGGTCATGTGCTGAGGAGGTCCCTCTGCAGGGCAGGAGCCAGGCCCCCTGTCCAGTACTGAGCCTCCTGCCCATAGTGCCTGGATCCCCATTTTTGGGATCCCCACTGCACAAGGGCAGCACTGCCCTGGTCGGGAGCTCTGGGGCTGTTCTCCGCTGGGCCTGCTTCCTCCCCTTTTCAGCTACGGGAAGGTGAGACTCCGAACCCGCTGCCCTTTCCTGTCCTTGCTCTTTTTGGCTGTTGGTGAGGGCAGAGGGGCTCAGGAATGAGGAGGTAAGTTTCTGCTCAGTGTGGAGCTGTCTGGGGCCTGCCCTCAAGAGGCACCAAGTCTGGGAACCTTCCCTTGGAAGGCATCATTTTACCCCCACTGCCAGGGAAGCCAAAGAAACCATACATACAGATTGGAGTCTGACCATGACCCTCTGCTTCGGGGTCTTGTGGTTTCTTTTTATAGTGCCTTGGACCACCTCCAATGGCCCCAGCTCACTCGGGGCCTGTTGCCTTCCTCTTGCACGGGCCAGGCCCCTATCTTCTCACCTGGAACCTTCTGTCTAAACAGCCATGACTGAGATGAGGGTGGGAAGGCGGTGGAGCCTGGGGGGGGGGGTCTCAAGAGAATACCACTGAGGCAGGAGGGAGGAGGCCCCAGCGTTATGATCTCTCAGAAACCACCCCTGAGCCCCAGTGGCGGGCTGTCTGTGTGAGAGCCGACTCCCTTAGCAGGGCTTATGTGTGAATCCCATGCTTGGGTGCGTGAGGAGCAGGAGTGAACATGGGGGACCATGAGCCCACCCTGACCAGGGACGCTTCTCTGAGGTAGCATGGGTCGGGTGTGGGATGTCGGACCAGACCAGCCTCTGCTTGATCCTGCTTCAACAGGAGGGTCTAGGAGGTCAGGGCGGGGGCAGCACCATCCCCCCCTCCTCAGAGCTGACTGCAGGAACGTGCACACTCTCCACTCAGGGCCTCTTGGAGTCCTTGTTTAGGATCCAGAGACCCTCTGGGGCCTTCTTCTGGGCATGAGAGCGTGAGAGCCCTCAGGAGTAGCAGCCATAGGCCCTGAGCCACCTGGGCCAGCAGGGATGGTTCCCAAGGCCCAGGCATTTCTGGCCATCCCTCGTGGAGCAGAGCCCCAGGGTGAAGGGGCCTTTTCCAAGCCGGGATTCAGGGGCCCCGAGGGTCACTGGGCTCCCTCTCTGGGAGCCTGGTCTGGAGATTTGTGTGTCCTGAGATTTGTGGAGGGCTTGGACAAAGGGGTGGGGCTGGTGTAACTCAGGTTTGGCCTCCCCAGATGGGCCTTTCTTCCCCAGGGGGCTCACTGCCTTGCTTCATTTATTTCTCTCTTGGCAGAACGCAGAGCCGGAGCCCCGGAGCCTCTCCCTGGGCGGCCATGTGGGCTTCGACAGCCTCCCTGACCAGCTGGTCAGCAAGTCGGTCACTCAGGGCTTCAGCTTCAACATCCTCTGTGTGGGTGAGTGTCACGGCCTGGCCAGGGTCAGCCTCAGACAGAAGATGGGTGAGAACCTTCTGGGAGATGGGGCGCTTCTGCCTGGGTTGCCTGTTGAGCTGCAAGGGAGAGTGAAACTTTGTGGGGGACAGGACCAGGGTTTGGTTGGTGTCTGCTGGGGTCAAGGACAGAGTTGGAACTGATGCCTGACAGAGTTGTCACCAAGAGTGAACAGGATTAGGCACATGAAAGTATTTTGTAAACTGTTGGTGTTTATCCCAGAAATTCAGATTCATTTATTCCTTTGTTTATTTAAAAAAGACTTACACACTGATGCCTACTATGTGCCAAGGATATTCTGATAATCACAGTATCATGTAGTAAACACTCTGGCACACATTTGAACAAATACAACCCCAAGCAGAGAGACTCTGGGAGGCTCCCTGTGCCTCAAGGCCCAGGACTCCCAGAAGGGCACAGAGTGCTCTGCCAAACCCCCTCCAGTTGCCCTTTGGGAAGCAACTTACCCTGAGTCCCCTCAGCTAAAACTACATGGAGCTGGGGCTGCCCAGGGCACATGGGCAGAGCCACTGATGACTTCAGACCCTGGCCCTGCTGGCCCCATGACATCCTGGGCCTGGTAGGTGTGGCATACAGAGCAGGTTGTTACATTAGGTAACCAGGTCCCAAGGAGGCTAGTGGAGGCCAATGTCCAGTCTTCACAGCTGCCTGGCTTTGCCTCTGCCTCTCCCTTAGGAAACACGCCGAACATCCCACACAGCTATGTCTTGTGTCCAAGTCCACCGCTTGGCTCTTCCTTCCACAGGTTATTTCTGAGGATGAGATAATTCCTGGAAAATGGGGACAGTGAGCGGCGGGGGAGATTGACCATCCCCTCTCTCTTGCATGGGAGCTGTAGTTGCCGGAGCCCCACCAGCCAGGGACAGCCTTGGTTCCAGTCTTTCACATCCACTTCTTCCCGTCCTGTTTCCACTCCCCAGGGGAAACTGGCATCGGCAAATCCACACTAATGAACACACTTTTCAACACGACCTTTGAGACTGAGGAAGCCAGTCACCATGAGGCGTGTGTGCGCCTGCGGCCTCAGACCTATGACCTCCAGGAGAGCAACGTGCAGCTCAAGCTGACTATTGTGGATGCTGTGGGCTTCGGGGACCAGATCAATAAGGATGAGAGGCAAGAGGCGGGAAGGGCGGTCCACCCAGCCTCACCCCACCCCACCCACGTTGGCCACAGTGGTGAAACTCTGCCCAAGCACTCAGTGTGGAGGGGGACACTCCACACTGCCCCCATGTGATAACCAAGCCCCCACGCTCCTGGGGGTCAGGGAGGGCCTCTCAGGGAATATCTGAGGCCCTGTGGTCACTAATTGACCAGGGAATCAGGAAAATCAGGGCCAGGGAATCAGGAGAAGGAATCAGCCACGTGTACCCAGACAGGGATCCCTTGGCAGAAGCTGTTTGTTCCTGGGGAAAAAAGGCTGAGGGCAGCCTGACCTGGCCCTGTGTCCCATGTGTAGCTCAGCTGCCTGCCTCTTGGGTGATGGAGCTGTCTGTAGTTACAGGCCCATAGTTGACTACATCGATGCGCAGTTTGAAAACTATCTACAGGAGGAGCTGAAGATCCGGCGCTCACTCTTTGACTACCATGACACGAGGATCCACGTTTGCCTCTACTTCATCACACCCACAGGGCACTCCCTCAAGTCCCTGGATCTGGTGACCATGAAGAAACTGGACAGCAAGGTATATCCCCCCTCACTCCTTGTTCCGTAGGCTCCAAAGTCTTCCACTGGGATGGGATGTGGTGGCTGATATGTAACTATCCACTATGGTCCTCGGGGGCCTGGCTGGGGGCTCACAGATGCCCCCCTGGCTTGCTCCTCTTGTTCTACCCTGTATCTGCCTCTACTGCTCGGGTGGGCCCCCAGTGCTCTGGGCTCTTTCTCCAGAGCCCCATGCCCTGGGTCTGGCCTTGGGCCCCTTCCTTCCAGCTGAACTGGTTCTCCGTCTCAGCCCTCCTGGCCCTCTTCTTCCTCCCCCTAGCGTTCCTTCCTCCTCCCCCAACCCTTTCCAGGGAACCCCCCTTTCCCATCTCAGCCTCTTCTTGGCTCATTTTCTCTCCCTCAGGCCCTAATTTCTGGTTCCTCCCTTCACTGTCTCTTTCGTCCCTGACATGGCTTTCCCTTGGTTCCTTCTAAGCCCACTGGGAAGAGGAGACGTGAGCCTGAGAGTTGGGATGTGAATGAGGAATGGGTGCTGAGGTGGAGAAGAGAGGGCAGTTCCCTGGGAAGACAGGAAGAGCTGGGGGTCTTGAAGGAGGTGTGGCCCCAAAGTCTCCTGTCTCATGACTGCCCTCCCATCTCAAGAGTTAAGTTTTGTTATGAAAAAGTGAGGTAACCTTGGCCAGGGAGGCTTTGAAATCTTCCTATGGCTAGTGTGGGTGGGTCATCTCACGTGCTTAGTGGGGAGCTCAGACCTTACAACTGCTCTGTCAGACTCCGGGCCAGTTAGGACCTTCAGAGCATCCTGAGTCAAAGCTGCGTATGCCTAGAGGGACCTATTTATTATTATTATTAATTTGTTTTATTTTTTGAGTCAGGGTCTCACTCTGTCGCCCAGGTTGGACTGCAGTGGATTGATCATGACTCACCACAGCCTTGACTTCCTGGGCTCAGGTGATCCTTCTGCCTCAGTCTCCCAAGTAGCTGGGACGACAGGCATGTATCACCATGCCTGGCTAAGTTTTTGAGTTTTTTGTAGAGATGAAATCTCGCTATTTGTCCAGGCTGGTCTTGAACTCACAGGCTCAAGCAATTCTCCTACTTTAGCCTCCCAAAGTGCTGGGATTACAGGCATGAGCCATGATATTCAGCCCATAGGGGGACCCCTTTTGGGTCTGGATGGTGGTTTGGGGCAATCAGAACTGTAAGAAGCACTGCATCCAATTGTTACTACCCATCAGAATGGCCACAGGTGGCTAGGTTTGGACCAGAACTGTCCAAGGGAGTAGCTCCATCTCTCTGACTTCCTGCCTCTCTGCCTAGGGATCTGGCCTGGAAATGGCTATCCCTCATCAGGGAGCCATTGCTCAAAAGACCCAACCAACCTGCTGTCTTCTCCTCTGACCCTGGCAGGTGAATATCATTCCCATCATCGCCAAGGCTGACACCATCTCCAAAAGTGAGCTCCACAAGTTCAAGATCAAGATCATGGGTGAGCTGGTCAGCAACGGGGTCCAGATCTACCAGTTTCCCACAGATGACGAGGCTGTTGCAGAGATTAACGCAGTCATGAATGTGAGTGTTGGGCAAGGGCCTCAGGGCTCCAGGGCCGGAGGGCACAGGGCGGGCACAGATCTCAGCCCCAGCCTCAGGAAACTCTTGCTCTTGAAGATTCCAGCCTTAGCTGCTACATGACAGAAGGGTGGGCATCTGGAGCCGGTCAGTCCTTCCCCTGTGGGTCCTGCACTGGGGCTCCCCCAGGTTTGAGTCCATGAGATCTGAACTCAGATGGCAAGAACCTGAAACCTGAAAGAGTTGAGCGGCTTAAGCGTTTAGGAACCTGGAAGGGAGCCAGGCCCACGGGTCCTTTCAGGAAGTTTAATGGCCCCCGGGGAGCCCAAGGTCTGAAAAAACACCCCAGAGAGTCAGGAGCACCAGGGAGGGGGGTTGAGGGTGCAGTCCTTTCTTCTGTTGGGCTTCTGGAACATTTCTCCAGAAGAGAGCCAGGAAGTATCTGGCCCTACGGCCTTTGTTCAGGTCAGGCGACCCCTTCCTGGGGCCCAGGGGCAGGGAGGGAGAGTCTGTCCAGTAGCCTGTGTCAGCTCAGTGCTCATGCATACTTGGGTCTCTTTGCAGGCACACCTGCCCTTTGCCGTGGTGGGCAGCACCGAGGAGGTGAAGGTGGGGAACAAGCTGGTCCGAGCACGGCAGTACCCTTGGGGAGTGGTGCAGGGTGAGTGAGGAGGGCAGGGCACATTTCCAGCCTGGGACCAGTCCTGCCCTGCCACCTGTAGCATCCTGACCTGCTTCCTCCCCGTGTCCACCCGTGTGCCTGCTGATGCCCCACGTGCCCTCTGCTTTCAGTGGAGAATGAAAACCACTGCGACTTCGTGAAGCTCCGGGAGATGTTGATCCGGGTGAACATGGAGGACCTCCGTGAGCAGACCCACAGTCGGCACTACGAGCTCTACCGGCGCTGCAAGTTGGAGGAGATGGGCTTCCAGGACAGCGATGGTGACAGCCAGCCCTTCAGGTGACAGTTTGAGCAGGGAGTGGGTCTGTCTTCATAGCCGTGACCAGAGGTAGCACACTGGCCTTTGTCCTCTGGGGCCGTAGGAGCCAGGTAGAGGCTGTGGGGACCCCAGCATTCTCTTGCCCCTAGTGTCCATGGGATGCTACTTCTCTGGCTCTGCCCTCCCCTGTTCTGCCATAATTATCCCTCGCCCCCTTGGCCTCTCTTCTCTGGATCTCCACAGCCTACAGGAGACATATGAGGCCAAGAGGAAGGAGTTCCTGAGTGAGCTGCAGAGGAAGGAGGAAGAGATGAGGCAGATGTTCGTCAACAAAGTGAAGGAGACAGAGCTGGAGCTGAAGGAGAAGGAGAGGGAGGTGTGTGCCAGGCCGGGGGTGGTGGCGAGGAAGGAGAGGGCGGGGGG